ACAGAGTGAGACTCCAACTCAAAAAAAAAAGAAAAAAAGAAAGAAGAATACAAGTATTAAAAAGGAAGAAGTAAAACTCCCATTTTTTTAGAGATATGATTGTATATACAGAAATTCCAAATATACAGATAAACTATTAGAATTAATGTTAGCTGGATACAAGATAAGTATTAGACAGCAGGATTTATATATATATATATATATATCTCAACAGTCAGGGAAATTTCATACTCGACATCATCTGCAGAAGCATCGTCAAACTTCCAACACGAGAACAGATCAGATCTGCACCTCTCCCTGGGCTGCCCAGAGCTCCCGAGGCATTCCCCTATACTTATAGAAAGCACGTCTCATGAAGGCACCTGCAGACATCTGTAGGACAGACACGAGCCAGGTCTTCCCTGGGGTCTTCGGTTCTTTACTTTCTCCACAGCACACTGTTTCTAAGAGTGGTTTATTCAAGCTTGGGCATTTCTGTGGGCTCGTCAGCACCTGGCTCCTTTGCCTGCTTCTTATTTGTATTAGATTGTGGGCAGCATTGCCCTGTTTTTCTCATTGAACATTACCTTATCTTCTGTCTTCCAGAATTTCTGCAGATTTTCCAGCCTTTTGTCAGGATGTTTCCCTGTACTCCTCTTTTATCATATATTTATAGTAGGTTTTGTGTGTTTGGGGAGGCAGGGGATATAGATGTGTGTGCTTGGTCTGTTATCTTGAACTAGAGGAAGCTTTTATGCTTGTAGTTCTCTCTTCTCTTAATTTCCAGTAGTCTACCCTTTCTGATTTCTCTTTCCATCATTTAGGAACTCTTTCTCTGCCTTCATATCCTATTCTTTTTTGGCCCACCTTGTATAATATCGCTGTTTCCTTGAGTGCCTTGTGTGGTTCTTTTCTCGCTTCAGTTTCTATGTTGTTTCTGAGCCAGCTCTTTTTCTCTTATGACTTCAGGGACCATGTTAGTGACTAATGTCTCCTAGATTCCTGTTTTCATTTTAGACCTCCCTTCCCTGTTCCCAAAATCCTGGAACCAAACCTGAAGGGGTAAGTGCATCTGTTTGTTCCACTGGTATTTTGAGGTACTTTGAAGACTCTGCCCAACCTCTCTTACATATTTTTCTAATCTCTGGAAATTCGTACTTGACATCACCTGCAGAAGCATCGTCAAACTTCCTACACAAGAACAGAGCTGCGCCTCTCCCTGGGCTGCCCAGAGCTCCCAAGGCCTTCCCCTGTGCTTAGAGAGAGCACGTCTCATGAAGGCGTCTTGCAGGTGCCCGTGTATGGTGTCAGCATTGACACAGTTGCCCATGAAGCATCTCTGTGCATAGCTAAACAAGAAAATAATTGACAGAATTTTATTCCTCTGCGGATTACCTTCCCATTATTTTTCTGTGTTGCTGTACCTCAGTACAGATCGTCTCTCTTTTATTTTTTAAACCAGGATTTTTTGAGAGGACAGAAAAGCGCCCGCAGTGGGAGGGGAGCCAAGGGGCTTGCCTAGATCATCTCTTAATTTGAGTCTTCTGCTTTGCCGCTTGGTCCGCCATTCCCGTAGAGCAGCAGTTCCTAACGGGGGCGACTTTGCTTCCCGGGAGAGAGTTGACAGTGTTTGGAGATATTGCTGATTGTCATTACTAGTGATGCTACTGGCATCCAATGGGCAGAAGGCAGGAATACCATTAACATCCCACAACACACAAGACGGTCCTTCAGAAGAAAGCATTATGTGGTCCACAGTGTCAGCAGTACCCTGCGAAGGAAACCCTGTTCCAGAGCATTGCTCCTGAAATGTAAATCTGGACGTGTAGCATACCTCTCTGGCGTGCAGGGATCTCTTCATTGGTTCCCTCCTGCCCCAGCAGAGACCTCCTGGTTGGGGTGTACATTCCACAGAGTGTTCAGCATAATCCCTTGGAGTAAAGGAAATGTGTGCCGGAATCCTGTTTGCAATCATTTTGCCTTTAAAAAAAGGAAGACGCTAAGCTTTCTCAGTGCATGAAGTTACAATGTATGTGTATAATTTAAAAATAAATACAAACAAATCAGAGCATGAGAGTAATAGTTACGCTAATTGTGTGTTCCCAAAGTATACGGTGGAATTGGAGCCATAGCGGGCATTCCCCCTAGCGCTTTGTCGTAGACTTTCAGCAGCAAACATCACGAGTTAGTTCCCAGCGGTGTTTTCCTGCCCCTGACTCCGAGCCCTCGGGATGGAGCAGACTCGTCCCGTTGCAGGCGCCCGTGTCGTTCGAGGACGTGACCGTGGAGCTCACCCCGGAGGAGTGGCGGCGGATGGGCCCCGGGGGCCGGAGCCTGTACCGGGACGTGACGCTGGAGACCTTCGGCCACCTCGTCGCAGTGGGTGAGCGGATGCGCCCTCCCGGGGCGTTTCTGAGGGGCTTTCTTCTCTCACGTCATCACTTTCATTGAGTTGTCTTTAGCAGGAAATAAAATACGGCGTCTTTCAGTACACAGGTCGGGGAGTTTTGGAAAGTGTGTGCAGAGGATACCTGGTCTCAGACCAGGTGAAGTGGCGACCAAGGTGAGGCCCAGACTTTACCTCTGCAGTGGGACCGTTTGTATATCTAACCCTGAATTGTGCCCCACGTCCTTGAAATAAAAAGAAAAAAAATTGCACAGTTCGTTACCACAATCCAAATCATGATGAGGAATATTTCCATCACCTCCAAACACTCTTATAGTCCTTTGCAGCGAGTCGTGTCGTCCCCGTCCCACCCCGCCCCCCGCATCTCAGCAACCACTAATCTGCTTTCTATTGCAGTAATTTTGCCTTTTCTCAAATTTCACATAAATGGAATAATGAGGCATATATTCTTTTTGGCCCGGCTTCTTTCTTTGGCATGAAGCTTTTGACTCATGCCTGTGTTGGCAGGTATCATGGTTTATGACGTTTATCCTATGTAGACAATTTATTATTCTTTATCAATTGGCCAACATATGGGTTTCTCCCCGCCCCAGGTGAGGCTATTATGAATAAAGCTGCTGTGAACATTCACATACATTTCTTTGTGTCAACATGTTTTTATTTATTTTGTGTAAATACCTAGGAATGGGCTTGCTGGGTCTTCTGGTAAGTTTATACATTGCTTTTAAGAAATGACCGTATGTTTCCAAACTGGCTGTAGGGTTTTTCATGTCCATAAGCAATCTGTGAGTTCTTACTGCTCTTTGGTCACCAATATCTGGTAAGTCTTATTATTTTTAGCCATTCTATTTGGTGTCTAGTTGTATCTTACTGGGTTTCAGTTTGCATTTCCCTGGTGACAAACAATGTTAAACTTCTTTTCATGTGCTTTTTATGAAGCCATTCATAAGTTTTCTTCAATTAAATGTCTATCAAATCTTTAACCTATTTTTTTTTTAGTTTTTAAAACTAAAACTAAATAGGGGGTTTTTCTTATTGACTTTAGACCTTTATTAGATAAATGTTTTTGCAAACTTTATCTCTACATCTCTGGTGTCTCTTTAAGAAGAAAATTTTTAATTTTTTTGCATATATTTTTGAAAGCTTCTTTAAAATATTGAATTACTATAGAATCACATGAATTAACAAAAATTATATCTTCATCTAAGTTTTCACCAAAGGTTACATGTTATACAACTATAATACAGGACCAATACCAGCAAATAAACTCTGGTACACTGTGTGTGAATAGCTGTTTGTTATTTTGTCAATGTGGAGAGTCATGTAACTACCACCACAATCAAGATGCGGAAATCTCTCACCGCAAATTCTCTTCAGTGCCACCTGTTTGTAGTCACACCCTCGCCCACATCATCCCTAGTCTCTGCCAGCTGCTGTCAGCTCTCCATGTCCATAATTTTGCCATTTCGAGAACGCTACGTAACTAGAATAGGGAATGCATCTAGAACAGAGGCTGAGTTTTTCCAGAATAAGTAAGTAAAGTTGCAAGTTAAAAAATGGGGTCACACCATATTTTACGTGTCGACGTTGGCTTTTTTACTTAACATAACGCCCTTGAGACCCAAGTTGTGTGTATCACTAGTTCCTTTCCTTTATTCTACGTAGTCTTTCACTATATGAACATGTCATAGTTTGCTTAGCCATTCACCTCTTGAAGGATACTTTGGTTGTTTCCAGTTTGGGGCTATTATACATAAAACTGATAGGGACATTCATGTTCCGGTTTCTGTGTGAACTTAAGGATAAACGCTGAGGATTGTGACTGTTGGATTGCGTGGTAAGTGTAAGTTCTGCTCTGTAAGAAAACGCTGAACTGTTTTCCAGAGTAGCTGTGCCATTTTGCGTTGCCACCAACAGTGTATGAGAGATCCAGCTACACCCCTGACCTTTCCAGCCCTTGTCATTGTCACTGTTCTTTGTTTTAGTGGCTGTAATAGGTGGATAGTGATACTTCACTGTGGTCTTAATTTGCATTTCCCTAATGGCTAATGATATTAAGTATCCTTTTATGTGTTCATATGCCATCTGTATGTCTTTATACAGTAAAACGTCTGTCCATGGCTTTTGCCCACTTTTCTTTGGAGATTTTCCATTGCCTTTTGAGAATTTATATATACTTTAGATATGAGGTTTTTGTCAGATGTAACTTGCACATTTTTATTCCATTCTGTAACTTTTCATCCTCTTCATCAGTTATTTTGTAAAGCATAAGTTTTTTTATTTCAGTGAAGTCTAGTTTATCCTTTTTTTTTTTTTTTTGTCATGACTAAGAATGTTTCACAAAGTCTTTGGCCCAAAGATTTTCTCCTATTTAAAAAAAATGATGTCATTTTATATTTTGTGTTTTAGTTATGAGTTAATTTTTGTTTAGGATGTGAATTTTAAGTTGAGATCTTGTTTTTGTTATTGTTGTTGTTTTGCCTATGAATGTCCATATGCTTCATCCAGCACCATTATCCTTCGCTGAATTGCTTTTTCATCTTTGCCAAAAATATGAATCTATTTATGGGTTCTCTAAATCAGGTTGAGTGATGCTTCCGACATTATATTTTTCCTTCAATATTGTTTTAGCTAGTCTAATTATTTTGCTTTTACATATAAATATTGGAATAACGTTGCCATTATGTTAAAATCTTGCCAGGTGTTTGATAGGAATTAAACCTATAAGTCATCAATTTTGTAGCATGTAACATCTTTATGATGTTGAATCTTACAATCCATAAACACAGTATATCTCTACATTTACTTAGATCTTGACTTCTTTCTTTAATGTTCTGTAGCTTTCAGTATAAAAAAAAAGTCTTCTACATGTTTTGTTAGATTTATACCTCTGTATTTCATTTGGTTAAGTGATGTTAATAGCACTGTGTTTCAAATTTCTGTTTTCATACATAAGTTGCTAGTTTATGGAATTGTAATAGGTTTTTTATGTTCTTTTATGTTGAAATCCTGCTGAACTTGATTAGCTCAGCAGTTTTTTTGTAGATTCCCTGGGATTTTTTATCATGTCGTCTATGAGTATGGTCAACGTAATGTCTTTCTAATCTGAATGCCTTTTTTTCCTCTTGATATATTACACTGGCTGGGACTTGTTGCACTAAACATCAGAGTGGTAAGAGGAGTCATCTTTGTCTTGTTCCCAACCTCAAGGGAAAAATATTCAGGCTTTCAACATATGATCTTAGCAAGAGGTCTTTTGTAGATATTCCTCACAAAATGGAAGAAGTTTCACTCTGTTTCTAGTCTCTGAGGGTATTTATTATGAATAGATACTGAATTTTGTCAATTTTTGTTTATCTACTGCTATGATTAAGTCATTTTTCTTCTTTACCCCATTAATGTGGTAGACTGTGCTGACTGATTTCCGAATATTGAACCAGCTTTGCATACTTGGAATAAACCTTACTAGGTCAGGTCATATATTCTTTTTATTTATCGCTTAATTCTGTTTACTAATATTTTGTTTAGTAGGTTTGCATTCATGAAAGAAAAATTGGTCTGTAGTTTTGTACTATCTGTCTAAGTGGTGCTTATTTTTCTTTAAGTGTTTGGTAGAGTTCTCTAGTGAAATCATCTGGGCCTGAAGATTAGTTTCTTTAATAGTTATAGGGCTCTTAACACTATCGGTTTCTATTGGGTGAGTTGTGGTATTTTTGCTCTTATAGCAATTAGTCCATTTAATCTAAGTAGTCAGGTTTATATATGTAGAGTTGTTCATACTATCCCCTTCTATCATTTTGAGATCTTTAGGATCTGCATTTATATCAATGTTTTATTCTCTTTTTTTTAAGTCATTCTGCCACCCAGGCTATAGTGCAGTGGCATGTTCACAGCTCACCTCTGTCTCGACCTCCTGGGCTCAGGCAATCCTTCCACCTCAGCCTCCCAAGGAGCTAGGACTACAGATGCACCACCACACTCAGCTAACTTTTTGGATTTTTTTTTTGTAGAGACCAGATGTCACTATATAGCCTAGGCTGGTCTTGAACTCCTGGGCTCAAACAGTCCTCCCACCTTGGCCTCCCAAAGCGTTGAGACTACAGGTGTGACCAAATTTTTTGTTATTCATTTGCTAGAGGTGTGTCAGTATTACTGCTTTTTTCAGTTAACTAGGTTTTCTATCATTGGTTTTTCTCTTTTGTTTTTCTGTATTTAATTACATTGATTTCTGCTTTTTTACATTTCTCTTCTGCTTAAGTTTATTGTGTTCTTCTTTTTAGAGTTTTTTTGTTTTGTTTTGTTTTTTGTTTTGCTGAGTTGGAGTCTCACTCCCTCACCCAGATTGGAGTGCAGTAGCCGCTCCTGGCCACCGCAGCCTCAACCTGCTGGGGGTCCGGCCATCCTTCCACCTCAGCCTTCCAAGTAGCTGGAACTACAGGCGCACGCTACCACGCCTGGCTAATTTTTGATTTATTGTAGAGATGAGGTCTCCCCAAGTTGCCCAGCGGGTCTTGAACCCGCGGGCTCAGGCAGTCCACTCACCTCGGCCTCCCAAAGCACTGGGATTACAGGCTGAGCACTGAACCTGGCTATAGTTTTTTTTAATGTGAAATCGTAGACTGTTGATTTGAGACACTTTCTCTTTTTTTCTTTTCTTTTTGTCAGGGTCTCACTCTGTCACCTAGGCTGGACTCACCACAGCCTCGACTTCCTGGGCTAAAGTGATCCTCCCATCTCAGCCTCCTGAGTAGCTAGGACTATAAGAGCACACCACCATACCTGGCAAAATTTTTTTATTTTTTGTAGAGATGAGATCTTGCTGTGTTGCCCAGGTTGGTCTCGAACTAAGGCTCAAGCAATTCTCCCACCTTCGTCTCCCAAAGTGCTGGGATTATAGGCATGAGCCACTGTGTCCAGCCAATTTCCTCTTTTCTAATGTAAGCATTTAATGCTATCAAATCTTCTCTCAGCGCTGC